GGAGGGGTGTTAATGTTGCAGTTTAAAAACTGTAGTGTAAAGCACCCTTCTGGCAAGACAGTGATGGAGTGAATGATGGTGAAAGTTTTTCTTTTTTGGGCCACCCTGCCTTGGTGGGAATCGGCCAGTGTGATAATAAAAAAAAAAAAATAGCACCAACCTCTCCAAAACTATATCCTCACCCGCTTTTAACATTTCTATCGTTATCCCATCAATTCCAGCTGCCTTACCACCCCCTTTCATTCTACCCACTGCCTCACGAACTTTTCCCACACTCGCAACTGGCTCTTCCTCACTCCTACAAGATGTTATTCCTCCTCATCAACATTTAACAATTCCTTAAAATATTCCCTTCATCTTCCCGATACCTCTGACTCTCCATTTAATAACTCTCCTCACCTATTTTTAACTGTCAAATCCATTTGTTCCATAGGCTTCCTCAACTTACTAATCTCACTCCAAAACTTTTTCTTATTTTCAACAAAATTTGTTGATAACATCTCACCCACTCTCTCATTTGCTCTCTTTTTACATTGCTTTGCTACTCTCTTAACCTCTCTTTTTCTCTCCATATACTCTACCCACCTTGCATCACTTCTACTTTGTAAAAACCTTTCATATGCTAACTTTTTCTCCCTTACTACTCTCTTTACATCATCATTCCACCACTCGCTCCTCTTCCCTCCCGCACCCACTTTCCTGTAACCACAAACTTCTGCTGAACATTCTAACACTACATTCTTAAACCTGCCCTATACATCTTCGACCCCATTGCCTATACTCTCACTAGTCCATTTATCCGCCAATAGTTGTTTATATTTTACCCTAACTACCTCCTCTTATAGTTTATACACCTTCACCTTTCTCTTACTTGCTGCTTCTATTTTCCTTGTATCCCATCTACCTTTTACTGTCACTGTAGCTACAACTAGAAAATGATCTGAGATATCTGTGGCCCCTCTATAAACATGTACATCCTGAAATCTATTCAACAGTCTTTTATCTACCAATATATAGTCCAACTAACTACTGTCATTACGTCCTACATCATATCTTGTATACTTATTTATCCTCTTTTTCTTAACCCTTTGGGGGTTTCGGTCGTACTAGTACAGCTTACAACCCAGGGTTTTTGACTTACTATTACGACTAAATTCTAGCGCCCTCAAATCTAGTGGGAGAAAGCTGGTAGGCCTACATATGAAAGAATGGGTCTATATGGTCAGTGTGCGCAGTATAAAAAAAATCCTGCAGCACACAGTGCATAATGAGAAAAAAAAAACTTTGACCATGTTTTTGGAATAAAACAGCGACTTTGCACTGTATTTTCGTATGGTATTTATTGTTGTATTCTAGTTTTCTTGGTCTCATTTTATAGAATGGAAGACATATTACAGAAATTGGGATGATTTTGACTGGTTTTACAATGAAAGGTACCTTGAAATTGAGCTCAAAGTAGCAGAAATGTTCGATTTTTACCAAAGTTCAAAAGTAAACAAATGCCAAGCGTCCAATACATGTCAACTGGTGAGTCTAATATTCTTTCCCAAGTGCGCTGATATTATTTATACCATTTCTACACTAATGCAGTAGTCTGCATAACAGTAAATCTTCTACTTTTTGTAAGAATAAAAATTGAAAGTGGAAAGCCAAAGAAATATAAGAGGGGCCTGGGGATGTGACTAACGAACAGAGGAAATGTTATTTTAGTGCCGGGAATGTCTTTCTTTTTTATTCTGGACTCTATTTGGAAATTGGCATCTTTTGAAAATTTGTGTGAAATTGACAAAATTGCTAAATTCTGACCACTGTATTGGATAGTTGAAAACAGTAAATGGGTAGTTTCTTGTACTCATTCAATAGAAAAAATGGAGATCTAGAGAAATAGTTATGATTTTTGTCGACTAGTACACTGGAATTGGCCGAAAATAGGGCTCAAAGTGGGCAAAATCGCCGATGCATAAACATCGTCGAGACTGCTAACTTCCTGAGAGCATAATTCCGTAAGTTTTCCATCAAATTTCATACTTTTGGTGTCATTATGATCAGGAAAAGATTCTCTATCTTTTCATCAGAAAAAATTATTTTTTTTTTTTTTTTAAATTTGGCCGACCCTGAGAACAAGTCTTGGAGAGGGCCTGTCGACCCTCAAAGGGTTAAAATACGGATTACCTATAACTAAACCCCTTTCTATACAAGTTCAGTCAAAGGGCTCCCATTATCATTTACATCTGGCACCCCAAACTTTTCTGCCATACTCTCTCTAAGTGTTTCTCGTACTTTAGCATTTAGGTCCCGTACCACAATTACTCTTTCACTTGGTTCAGAGGTTCCTATACATTGGCTTAACATCTCCCAAAATTTCTCTCTCTCTCCTCTACACTCCTCTCTTCTCCAGGTGCATACATGCTTATTATGACCCACTTTTCACATCCGACCCTTATTTTAATCCACATAATCCTTGAATTTACACATTTATATTCCCTCTTCTCCTTCCATAACTGGTCCTTCAACATTATTGCTACCCCTTCCTTAGCTCTAATTCTCTCAGATACTCCTGACTTAATCCCATTTATTTCTCCCCACTGAAACTCCCCTACCCCCTTCAGCTTTGTTTCGCTTAGGACCAGGACATCCAACTTCTTTTCATTCATAACATCAGCAATCATCTCTTTCTTATCTGCACATTCTTATCTACACATTCAAGCATCCCAGTTTTATAAAGTTTTTCTTCTCATTTTTTGTAAATGTGTACAGGAGAAGAGGTTACTAGCCCATTGCTCTCGGCATTTTAGTCGCCTCATACAACATGCATGGCTTGCTGAGGAAAGATTCTATTCCACTTCCCCATGGACAATAGAGAGACAAAAAAAAAAAAAAAAAAAAGTACAAGAGCTATTAAGAAAAAAAAGAAAACCCCTAGATGTGTGTATGTATATATATGCATGTGCATGCCTGTGTAGTGTGACCTAAGTGTAAGTAGAAGTAGCAAGATATACCTGTTATCCAACGTGTTTATGAGACAGAAAAAGGACACCAGCAATCCTACCATCATGTAAAACAGTTACAGGTTTCTGTTTCACAATCGCATGGCAGGACAGTAGTACCTCCCTGGGTGGTTGCTGTTTACCAACCTACTACCTATTATAAATATTATATCCATTAATTCTGACCAACTTATCATTTGCAACATACCTCATTGTACTTACGACCGTAATGGATTAGTCAAGCTGTACTGATACTGAGATATGTTAGATTGGAGTGAGTGAAAGCAAATGATTTTTGGGACTTGATGAGCTGTTGAAATGTAAGCAAGGTAACATTTTGTTATCTTGCTTACACGTCAACACTGGTTAGCTGGATTTGAGTCCTGGAGGTGGGATATACAGTGCCTGAAATCTGAAGGAGGGCTGGTGATATTTTGAAGTTTTGGAGGGGCATCTGAACTGTTGTATCAGTGTGCCTCAGGCAAGACTGAAATTAAATGATGATGTAAGTGTTTCTTTTTTTTCGAGTTGCCCTACTTTGGTGGGAGATCCCTGGTGTGGTTAAAAAAAAAAAAAAGATCCTTATTGTTAGTCTGAAATTCATTTCATAATTAGTGGCTTTATTCAGAGCATACGATTCTATCAAATTATATCTGTATTGTAGTAAGATTATTATCTAAAATAGTCAGTTGGAATATATGGCTAATGTAACTTCTTTGCATGGCTCTTAGAAATTTATTTTATTTTATTTTATTTTTTTTTGTGGTTTAGGAGTCCATTAATGTTGTTACAGAGGTTAAACTGATGGGCATGCTGGTTAGTTTTTCAAGATAATTCTTATTACAGAATTACTTCACCAGAATTGTTTACTTATTTACACTATCAAAAATAATAATACAGTTTATTTAACCCTTTGACTGTTTCAGACCCCTTTCTGAAACTGTCATTCTATGTCGCCAAATATTCGGAAAAAAACAAAATTATTTTTTCTTATGAAATGATAAGAGAATCTTTTCCCAATGGTAATGACACCAAAAGTTCAAAATTTGGTCGAAAACTCACGGAATTATGCTCCCGCGAAGTTAGCGGAATCGGCGACATATGTGTATTGGCAATTTCGCCGACTTTGAGCCCTGTTTACAGCCAATTTCGTTGTTTCAATTGACCAAACTCATAGCTATTTCTTTAGAACTCCATTTTATCTATCAGCTGAGTACAAGAAACTGCCCATTTACCAATTTGAACTACCCAATATAGTGGTCAGAAATTGGCAATTTGGCCAATTTCACGCAAATTAAAAAAGATGCCAGTTTCAAAATAGGGTCCAGAATAAACAAGGTAGACATTCTTGGCACTAAATTAGCATATCCTCTGTTCATTAGTCACATCTCGAGGCCCCTCTTACATTATTATTGCTTTCTGTTTTGATTTTTTATTCATACAAAAAAATACAAAATTTACTGTTATGCAGACTACTGCATTATTGTAAAAATGGTATAAATAATATCAGTGCACTAGTGAAAGAATATTAGACTCCCCAGTTGACGTGTATTGGACGTGTGGTGTGATTGTTTACTCCTGAACATTGGTAAAAATCAAACATTTCTGCTAATTTGAGCTCAGTTTCAAGGTCGTTTTCATCGTCAAAGTAATGAAAATCATCTCTATTTCTGTAATATGTTTTCCATTTTATCACCTAAGATCATGAAAACGCGAATACAACGATAAATACTATACGAAAATACACCTCAAAGTCTGCGTTTTATTCCAAAAAAACGATCAGTTTTTTTTTTTCTCATTACGCAGTGTGTGCTGCAGGATTTTTTTTATGTGGTGCACACTGACCACACAGACCCATTCTCTCACATGTGGGCCTACCAGCTTTCTCCCGCTTGATTTGAAGCCGCTAGAATTATTGAGTATATATACGTCAGAAACATTGGCTCGTAAGACGTATTTATACGTCGAAAACAGTCAAAGGGTTAAGCTTTGAATGTGTTCTTGAACTTACAGAGATGGGGATGCTGCAAGCCATGCCAAAGTTCACCTAGAAATGGATGAGGATGATGATGGAGAGAAATATGATGATTATGAGGGTGATGACCTCGGTGAAGGTGAGAATGATACATAAATTTGTTTGTACTTGTTAGGTTTTATGCAGTTGTCATAAATATTTTCATCTCTTCATTGCATAGCTTAAGAGCATTGGTTCAGGCTGAGTTGATTTTCATTAGTATATAGGTATTGGATAGTCTCTGGTAAATGTTATATACAGTATATACAGTAGTTAATATAACTATATTTTTCTAGGAAAAAAATTCTAGTACTTTTATTTGACTAGCATATCATCCTTCAAGAATTTCAGTTTTGGTAATGCTTTTGTATTTAAATAATAAGCAGTATAGTATTTCAAAGTATTTCTTTTCAGTGTCTTGTTCTGCATGATGTATATGTTAATATTGTAGTTTAGTGTTATTGTCAAAAAAAAAGTCAGTTTGTCTCCTTTTTAGCATTATGCAATATAATAACTTATTAAATACTAAAATGCTTTTGAACATGTGAAGCATTTTCTTAATGATATTATCCCTTGCTTTGTTTTGGTACATTGTGTGATTTCTATTGTGTGTATCTTCTCATTGCCTTCTGAAATTTGTTTTGTGTAAAGTCAATCTAAGAATTGTGTGGTCCATTAGGTAGATGCTGCAAAATACTGTGTGACAGACTAAAAATTTGTTATGCATCAACTTATTGTCTCAGTTTCTCTCTCTCCCTACCTATTTGTCTTATATCTCAATCTGCATTCCTATCTCTCTCTCTGTCTCATTCTCTCTCTCATTCTCACTCTTGCTCTTTTTTTTTTTTTTTTTTTTACACAGGGTTTGACAAGGTTAGGTTAATGATCCCTAGCTTTATTGACAAGCTATTTACAGGTCAAGGATTCCTAACTTTATTGACAAGCTAAGAGCTGTTACCTACATCAGCTCATTTGAAAGCATTTTTATTGTTATGATACATACAGGTATTTTTATTGTTATGAAACAAACATACAAGTAAGGAACATGATGAAATTGGAGCCATCTCTCTCTCTCTCTCTCTCTCTCTCTCTCTCTCTGTCTCTGTCTCTGTCTCTCTCTGTCTGTCTCTGTCTCTGTCTCTCTCTGTCTGTCTCTGTCTCTGCTCTCTCGTCTGCTCTGTCTCTCTCTCTCTGTCTCTGTCTCTCTCTCTCTGTCTCTCTCTCTCTGTCTCTCTCTCTCTGTCTCTCTCTCGTCTCTCTCTCTCTCTCTCTCTCTCTCTCTCTCTCTCTCTCTCTCTCTCTCTCTCTCTCTCTCTCTCCTCTCTCTCTCTCTCTCTTCTCTCTGTCTCTCTCTCTCTCTCTCTCTCCTCTCTCTCTCTCTTCTCTCTCTCTCTCTCTCTCTCTCTCCTCTCTCTCTCTCTCTCTCTCTCTCTCTCTCTCTCTCTCTCTCTCTCTTTCACACACTCACACACACACACACACACACACACACACACACACACACACACACACACACACACACACACACCATGGATGTGGTGATGGCAAATCTCATGCACCAACATGTTAGGGATACTACCAGAGAGAGAGAGGGGAGGATGAACCAGCAAGACTGGACCTCGAGTTCACCCTGAGTAGCTCAGACATTGAGCACATCACATATGAAAGGCCCCTTGGAGCTAGTGACGACGTAGTTATGAGCTTTGAATACATCGTGGAGCTAAAAGTCGAGAGGGTAACAGGAGTAGAAAGGGAAAAGCTAAACTATGAAAGGGGGGCCTACACAGGAATGAGGATCTTAATGCAGGATGTTCAGTAGGAACAGGAGTTGGTAGGAAAATCAGTAAACGAAATGATGGACTTTGTAACAACAAAATGCAAGGAGGCATAGGAAAGGTTTGTTCCCAAGGGTAACAGAAATAATGGGAAGGACAGAACAAGCCCTTGGTTTACCCGAAGGTGCAGGGAGGCAAAAACTAAGTGCTCTAGAGAATGGAAAAAGTATAGAAGGCAAAGGACTCAGGAGAATAAAGAGATTAGTCGACGAGCCAGAAACAAGTATGCACAGATAAGGAGGGAGGTGCAGTGGCAGTGTGAAAATGACATAGCATCGAAAGTCAAGTCTGATCCGAAACTACTCTACAGCCACATCAGGAGGAAGACAGCAGTCAAGGACCAGGTAATCAGGCTGAGGAAAGAAGGTGGGGAGCTCACAAGAAACGACCAGGAGGTATGTGAGGAGCTCAACATGAGATTTCAGGAAGTATTTACAGTGGAGGCTGAAGGGACAACGGGAAGACAAAACAGTGGGGTACAAAGTCTTCTGATGGTGTTGGATTCGCAGCAGTGTTTCCGGACAGTGTCGTACGAAGGCATTTACTATCTTCGGCTAGCATTTTTACTGCTGAATTGTATGCCATTCTTGCAGCACTTACTCGTATTGCAACTATGCCTGTGTCATCATTTGTGTTTGTCTCAGACTCCCTTAGTGCTCTACAGGCTATACGGAAATTTGATATACCTCACCCCCTAGTTCTCCGTATCCAACGTTGGCTGCGCCGTATCTCTACCAAGCATAAAGATATTGTTTTTTGTTGGGTCCCTGGTCATGTTGACATACAGGGCAATAAACAGGCAGACACTGCTGCGCGGTCAGCAGTACATGACCTGCCAATTTCATATAGAGGTGTTCCATTTCTGGACTATTTTGCTGTAATAGCTACCCACCTTCACACCCATTGGCAACAACATTGGTCAATTCTACTCGGTAACAAACTTCATTCTATTAAACCGAGCATAGGTTACTGGCCATCTTCTTGTCATCAGTGCCGAGGTTGGGAGACTACTCTCTCCCACCTTCGCATTGGCCACACTCGTCTTACTCATGGGTATCTCATGGAGAGGCACCCTGTTCCTCTCTGTGAGACGTGTCAGGTTCCAGTATCGATTAGCCACATTCTGTTAGACTGCCCTCTCTATCAACAAGCATGCAGAATTTACCTCCAACGTTGTCTCCGCTCTACTACTCTCTCTTTACCTTCCCTTCTTGCTGATGGACCCTCCTTTAATGCTGACTCTCTCATTGACTTCTTAACAACGACTGATTTACTCCACAAACTCTGATGATGATACCTTTTGCACTCCCCTCAGCCCTTTTTACCTCAATCTCTTAAATAACAATCTCTTGCTCCCCTCTACCCTTTCACCATCCACTGCCCCGCTGTTCTCCGTAACCTATTACTCATCCATCTCCCTTTTACCACCTGATACCCTCACTTCCTTCCTGCCCTGCAGCACTGTATAGCCCTTGTGGTTTAGCTCTTCTTTTTGATTATAATACTAATAATCTAGAATGAATAAAATAGGCCATAATATGGGGGCAGAGCTAGCGGTGGAAGTGTCCGCCATTTCCTGTCCCATTTTGACTATAGTATCTTCCCATGCTCTTATTGTAAGAGAAAAGATATTTTTGAGGCTAACAATGCATTTATAAATTAGAAATATCGTATTTAAAAACAATAAATAATAATACACTACAGAATGTAGAGAAATATTAAACTGTTTATATAAAATGCATGTGTACTTACACACTTGGAGTAGAGATGGTGGGGGAGGTTGAGGGTGCGGCATATCATGTCAGTGGCTCAGCAAACCTCCAACAACAAAAATGTTTTGTTTCATTGTTGAACTTAACTGATACAATTTGTTTTGTTTAATCACTGAACATAACTGATAAAGCTTTAGTATCTACATATCATAAATGTACTGGGAGCGCTTGAAGTTCCTGAGCCTGTATTCCCTGGAATGCAGGCGGGAGAGATACATGATTATATACACCTGGAAAATCCTAGAGGGACTAGTACCGAACTTGCACATGAAAATCACTCACAACAAAAGCTAAAGACTTGGCAGACAATGCAACATCCCCCCAATGAAAAGCAGGGGTGTCACTAGCACGTTAAGAGACAATACAATAAGTGTCAGGGGTCCAAGACTGTTCAGCTGCCTCCCAGCATACATAAGGGGGATTACCAATAGACCCCTGGCAGTCTTCAAGCTGGCACTTGACAAGCACCTAAAGTCGGTACCTGACCAGCCGGGCTGTGGCTCATATGTTGGATTGCATGCAGCCAGCAGTAACAACCTGGTTGATCAGACTCTGATCCACCAGGAGGCCTGGTCACAGACCGGGCCGCATGGACGTTGACCCCCGGAACTCTCTCCAGGTAAACTCCAGGTATTGCCTGGCTAAGTCCATGGAAATCATCATCATTTTCTTCTCGGCACTGTCCTTAGGACCCATGGTTAGAAAAAAGAAATTTGGCCAGATGACTGTATAAAAGTGCAAGCAAGCACAAAAGAACTACTACCACAGTGATGTAAGCATGCATACTGCTTACTGGATGTTTTGGCATCGGCTGTGCCAACTAGCGGCAGCATTCTGAATTATTATTATGTACATATTATGTATTATTATTATTATTAATTTAGGGAACTGAAGCTCTGTTGTTATTATTATTATAATAATAATAATAATTATTATTATTTAGGGAACTGGAGCACAGATCAAATTCCCTAGATCAAGAGCCCCTCACCAGCATCAGGGAACCTTGTTGCTGGTGAAGAGCTCTTGATCTAGGGAATTGGATCTGTGCTCTAGTTACCTAAATTAATAATAATACTAATACATTATTATTATTTTAATAATAATGAATGTCGCCAACTCAGTGCACTGTTCACCTCACTGTGGGAGCAGTTCTCTCATGCTTTGCTTAAAGTTTTGACAGTCATTTGGCCAAATTTTGTTTTTCTAAGTATGGTCTCCTTCATAGACCAAACCTAATTACCCCCCTTCTCTATCCCATCCTCTCTTTTTCCCTTTCCTCCTCCCCATCCCTGCCCTATTCTCTTCCTATTTTCAGCCTTTGGGATTCTTCCCACAGGCACTCTAGTTCCTAGGTAGGGGGAAGGGTACTGGGGTCCATCCCATTCTGTTGAGGTCCTTGGCAGTGGTGTAGTTTGCTGTGGAATCTGGATCACCTGGAGGTGTCCCGATCCCTCTCCGGTCTCCCGGGGTTTGGCTTTGGGCGTCTTTCGGGT